CGCTGCGGAGCCTGAGCTGCACAGTCCGTCAGTCAGTCGGGTACCCATTCGTAATTAGTAGCAGCAGAGCAGAAATCCTCTTTAAATCGCTGCAGTCTGTGCTACGTATTATCCAGGCAGGGGATGAGATGATACTGTCACGGAGTTAACAAAACCTCTGATTTCAGGTGAGCTCAACATACAGAAACACCAAGTACTGCCTGCCGCTGTGGGGTCTGGAGCGCATGCAAGGCGCACATAAGCGCGCTCACTTATACGTGCTCCGGGTTTTAAACTCCTTGTTAAATACCTCTCCTGCCCTGGGGCAGCAGGCATGCCTTCCCTGCCTTCCCGGTTTCTCTTTTTTCTGTTTTCTTCTCACGGTCTGGAAAATTTCCATGTGCTAAGCAGCAGCCAGCCTGTTAAAGGGGCACCACACACGTTGAACGGTGGTTTAATTGCTCACTTCATTCGCTTTAAGCACTGTATTTCTGCGTCTGTCTGCAGGAACTGTTTCTTTACGTTAAAAGTGTACAGATTAACGGGATCAGATGGAGCACCTCAAAACAGATTTCCATCTACAGCTGTCTGTCTTGGACTTTGGCTTTAACACCAGTGCCTCCCTTTCCAATACCTCAGTCTTGTTTTGCCCAGATAGGCTGGCCCCGTGTTTGCAAACATATCAGTTAGGAAAGCACGGAGTGTTATGTGTCCAACTGAAAGGACAGCTGTTTACATCACAGAAACCAATGGTCAGGTTCCTACTCCTGACTTGCAGACACTTGAAAAGCCAAACCGTCATCAGTATTTATACCTGCCTGGAAAAAAAGGCCTTTTGAGAGTTGAATTTGATAAGGAACAAACACATTAATTAGCCTGGGATTTTGCATTAATCCTCTGATTTATGCTGTGGATACTGGGAAATCTAAATATAGCTAACACTTCATGCTCTCCTTTCAAGCTGACAGAAGGGAAACCAAGCGTGGGTTTTGTTAATTGGCAGGATTTCAATGTGGTCATGCTGTGTTTCACAGAAGGAAGTTAACACACTGTTGTTATGAGTCAAGTGTAACAGGAAAGAAAAAGCAACTCAAAGTAAATCAGTTTTTAAATACCTGTAAGTATACTGAAATATGGATGTGGTGATGCCGGCACCCTGCTATAAAATGGAAAATCTTAAAATTCCAAGGGGTCAGTTCCACTCACCTGGTGGCGTAGCCCACGTTCGTCTGGTGCAACAACAGTGGCTTCCAGCACGTTCGCCCTTTTATCCAGTTGACAGTTACTCTCTTAAGTGCTAAGTAAATAAACCTTTCTTCATCAAAGAATTGCGTGAAAGGCAAACCAAGAGCATCTGAAGCAACATGCTGTGAACAACAAGTTTAATGGAGGCCTCCAGAAAGCTCATGTCAGCCATTTTCTACTAAAGCAAGTTACCTTTGACTGCATGTTTTTGCAAGCACCTGGATTTTGTCTAGTAATTTTAAAAAGTAGTTTTCACATCTATTTTGAATCTACAGATGCAGTTGTGATTGGCATGGGGGAAGTACAACAGCAAGGCACTCCAGGCCAGAATTATAGTGTCTCTGGGGCACAAGTGTTGCTCTTTGCTGTTTGATTATGTCAGAACACCCTGCAGTCTTTTTTTTTTTTTTTTGGCTTTCACTGTCACCCTGCGTATTTTTAATTCCTTTACTACGGCATATAATACCTTTCACTCATAATTTTGCTCTCAGCAAACTTTGAGCAATTAAGTTAGAAATCACTCACTTAAAATCTAATGTGGTTAGTTACAGTGAACTGATGGTCCAGTTCAAATTACTCTGTTGCAACAACATGGAATTACTACAAACTGCATCCCAGCCTGTTGGACTTCCATCAAGTTGGGTGTTACTCTACAAAAGGTGAAATAGGCCAACCTTTCTACATTTTTCAGCATGCTAGATGAATCATCATTAGTGAATTTTTATCTGTGCTGAACCAAGTGATATGTTTAATTTATCTGGGCTGAAAAAGAGATCTGAGAAGCCAGTAGATGATCATGCTTGCCTGTGTTAGCCAAGGGAGTCCATTTCAAGGTTAAGTGGCGCTGAACTTCAGGCCAGGCAAAACAGTAAAGACCTGCATGGCGGTTTTTTGGGCGGAAGTTTGTGTGTACAATTGTGTCTGTCTATGGATACACTCTTAGTGGTTGCTCTTAGATAGCCTAAGAAAATCACAGTTCACTTCACAGGCCTGTGTTGAAAAGTATTGTTCACGTCCTCAATAAACGTGACAGAACCTAATACCATGTGCAGATGAAAAAGCTCTTTAAAATCTAAGCAAATATATTTCTCCCGCCTTTCCCCCTGGGACCCACAGTGTGGATGTTTCAGCAATTGTTTGAAGATCATTCATGATAAGCTAATTTTCATGACCTTACCTTATATTTGCACATATTCATATTTTAGCTGACATGGAGCAAACTCACTCTCACTCTTATTTGCTTAGTCACAACCTCTTCAGCCTTTGAAAATTCAGGATATCCTTGTGCAGGTGACCAGCAGAAATGCCTTACCTTCGTCTATCTGCAGCACTCCCCATTAGATGTAGGCTGGTCTGTGTAGGATTGTTTCTCTGCAAGTCGTGCAGATCAGTCTGTAGTTTCTTCTAGGCAGTGCTTTGCTATGCATGATGGTGTTCTGAAGGTGACATTGTTTCCTGAATGATGTAACTGAAAATTCCCTTTCCTGTGCTTCTTGTTTCCTGATCAGTTTTGTCTTTGTTCTTGAAGACATTCCAGCAGCTGCATATCTTTTATTCCTGATCTTTTATTCCTACGAATCTCTGTGAAGACAAGTTATGTCAACAGCTACTTTAATTAATTTGGTACGAAATGGAGGGTATCAAGTAAGAAGGAGAGCCGTGCTGACGTCCCGCTTCTTGCAAGACGAGAAGTGTCTGACAGCCACCTGCTACAGCTCCACCTCGGAGCGCCATGCTTCACGCTTCGATTCTGATGGGAGTGGGCGACCTACCACATGGGACACCTTTGGCATCTGGGACAATCGCATTGATGAACCCATTCTACTCCCACCAAGCATAAAGTATGGGAAGCCGATTCCAAAAGTCAGCCTGGCCAATGTGGGCTGTGCTAGCCAAATTGGGAAGCGTAAGGAAAATGAAGACCGGTTTGATTACGCTCAGCTGACGGAGGATGTCCTGTACTTTGCAGTATACGATGGACATGGCGGGGCAGCAGCAGCAGACTTCTGTGATAAGTACATGGAAAAATATATTAAGTAAGTGTGCATCAAGTGAATGCATGTCAAATGCATTACAGTAGAGATTCCTTCCTTAGGACTCAAAGGGATCCGATGGGTCACAGATTGTCGCTAATTCTCCTAAATTATATTGCCACCTAGCCCAACGGGACGGCAGGAACACCAGACTGGAGCAGTCTGTTACAACGGACATGCTATGAGCTACTTAATCTGTATGGTGCCTGTCCCATTGAGCAAGCCCACAAAGACAAGAGAGGAAAATATGATTGTACTCACCCTTCCGGGAAAGGACTGGGAACACAGAGTGTGAATTGACTGTTTTCAGAGGGGGGTCACTGTGATCGCTGACTTACGGCTTGCTTACACTCATTTATATCTGTGTCACATCCCTGGGTGTTGGAAGAAGAGTTTTACCTGTTTGTCAAATTACAGGATTATGCTTCCAGTGGAGGTCATTAGTAAAATCATATTACCTTTTCACTGAAATCCAGCATTATTCAATGCATGTAGGGAGGCTATGCTATAAGGCGATGGAAGAGATTGATCGAGATGTATATTTCTTGGAAAGCAGTTTAATTTTTTGTTTGCTTGTTTGTTTCCAGAGAAATTCTTGCTCAGGAGGAGAACTTGGAAAGCGTTTTGAACAAAGCTTTTCTAGAAATAAACAAAGCATATGAAAGGCACGCTCATCTGTCTGCTGATGGTAGGTAAAAAAAGATTCTACTCATATGGGTGTGGAGAATAAGATTTTTCTTATTTGCTCAGTAGTTTTATAGTAAAATGTCTAGAAAAATGCTTGAAAACAGTTTTACTTAACATAGGATTTTGCTCTGATAACTTACTGCAAATGTAAGAATTGTGCTTTACCTCCTTAAAATGAAAAAGCTATAAAATGTCTAAATCAAATTTACTGGGGGGGGTATTAATCTGAATGTTAGCATGATCATCAATGAATTTCTCTTAAAGTGATTCTGTCAAGGAAAGTGTCAAGTTAGCAGAGTGATTTAGATTTGCAAGGAGGATTAACTTTACTGTGCAAAAAACCTGGAGCCGGGTTTTGGTTTGGTTTTTTTGGTTGGGGTTTTTCATGTTGGGGGTTTTTTTGTTGTGGTTTTTTTGTTTGTTAGTTTTGATTTGTTTGTTTGTTATCAAAGCTGTTATTCCTGTGGGTTAAAAGCAACAGTGTCAAAAATTCCCCTTTCTAACTTGGCTGCTGTACCTGAGGAGCAATGTAAGCCAAAATTAATACAATTGATACTGATTCCACACAAACAGAATCACAGGAGTAGCGGAGTGTGAAAGGGAAAAAAGCAGTGAAGATGAAAACAAGGTTGGCTACGGTAAAGCTGGCACCAGCCCTTTCAGACTCCCTAGTCCTGGCTGTTAATCAAGTTGTTGTATATATGTCTAGAGACGAAGTACATCTGAAGTTCCAGTTCCAGCAGCTTGAGCTTATAGAGAGTAACTTGGGAAGGGAGATAAAGGTCCCTGTCCCATCGCAGGTGTTTCCTCAGCCATGAGATACAATTCTAAGAGTCAGTTTAGCCAGTCTTAAAAAAAAACAAACCCAAACCCAATCAAAAAGAAAACCCAAACCCACAACAAAATCAACAAAAAAAACCCCAAAACCCAAAAAACCAGTTGCAGTGCTGGTGCAGGTGCTGGCAAAATGACTGAGAACCTTTCAGAAGAACATAAGCTGTAAAAGTTTACTCTCCAAGAAAGACTCGAAACCAACAAGCCATCTAGGGACTGAAATGATACCGTATTCTCAAGCTACATTTCTTAAGCAATGAATGAATACAATCAAGTAATGGAGTGGCTTCCTGCACTTTAAACTGCTAGATGAATCTATGTAAACTCAAATATTTCCTGGGAGGACAGGTAGCCTGACTGTTGCAGCACTGTGAGGGATACACACCTTTCCTCTTACCTGGTACCAGCTAAGGTATCAGGAAAAAAAAGTCTTAAGTCCTGAAATGCAGCCCTTAAAAAAGGGGAATTAAATCTATAACGTCCATGTCCCCATTATATCCCTTTTAATTTTTTTTGTATTGAAATCCTTTAAAAAATAAAGATGTAGTAAAAAAGACGAGAGTCACTTTTGACACACAGAGTGAGTTTTAACTGAGCTTATGAGACACATCAGTAGAGCAGATGTGCTTTTTATCGAAGAGCCTCCTTGCAAATACTTTTTCTTAAAAGCCCAAATTCAAGAAAGCATCTGAATACAGGCTTATGTGCTTCCCTGGATCAGGACCTTTCATTTTCACTAACATGAAGATTTGTTATATTTGTCCCCCTTCCTGTCCCTTTGTTAGTAGGAGAGCTCTTTGTTTGGCTCATTGAAGGGACCTCTGTTAAGCATCAGAGCAGCTCCCTGAGGAGGATTGGGAACTGTACTTGGTATATTCTTTTTTATTCTGAAAATGGTTTCTGGTTATAGCATTTGATACATGAGACTTATGGAACTGGATAACAACAGTATTTGATGTACAAGTTGTGCAGCAAGCTGCGCATTTGGAACTGCTTATAGGATTTTTTTCATGTCATTTAACTAACTGATGCTGCTTAATGACATGCAATGCAAATGCCAGCAAATTTATGTAACAGTTACCAAGATACTGGACAAACCCTCTTCATTAAAAAAGCTTGAGGTCAAGCAAAATAGAGGGAAAACGCATTGACAGACATCCACAGGGGCCACACTCTGGCAAGCACTCAGTGTTTCTCAGGTAGGCTGAGCACCTGCAAGCCAGTGGGATCTGAAAGTGCCTGGTGCTCTTGACTGCTTGCCCAGCTGAAAGTGAAGCTATAAGGCAAAGAGCGGAGTAACAGGGTGCAAAGACAAGTGTGGATTTCTGAATAGATTAAACTTTTTGCATATCTCTTGTTAAAATAATTCAGTACTATGTTGACTGCTCGGTGTAGATATTTTTGTTGTTGGTGCTGTTTTGAAAGTTACATAAAATTTCAATGCTTGGCATGTATCCTTGTTAGAAGCCTACTTCCAAACTGATTCAGTTTGCCAGAAAAATTTGTGATTATCTGTGGCTATTCTAGATGTGACAGGCAAGACTTTTGCTAAAGTATCTTGAAAATAGTGGCTGGTTGTGTAACACTGGGTAACTGGGATATGCTGGATGCCCACCAAGACTGACCTCTTTTTGAAATCTGGCCACAGCTGACGAAGTGGAATCAATAGGTTAGTCCTGTTCCAGTAGATGACCCTGCCAGGGTTTGTTCTTTTCACTGTATCTGCAAAAAACACCCAACAGTGCATGTTCAAAATGGCCAGGTCTTTACTAACACACAACCAGCTTTGAAAGTGTGTGCCTGGTTGTTTGAAGGAACATAAGTCCTAGGACAAATCCCTGTAACCAAAACTGCATAGATCTTGTTTGACCCATTGTAGTGCTATTTAAGGGGTAAAAAAAATCATATAATGGCAAACCTCACAAACTTAACAGGACTAGAGATGTGCCTTGTTGGAGCACCTAGCTGTGCCTTCAAGGGCATGGCCCTTTGTAGGTCACTTTACAATTACAGAATATTTGAAATTATAGATGGAAAATATATAGCATAATAGTTTCTGTGAACTTTCAATAAAAAAGATTCCAGATACCGCTACTGTGTCTGGCATGCAGTTCACTGGTGCTGTTGGAGTGCTGTACTGGCCCACTGGAGACTGGTCCAGTATCCCCTTCGACAGTGATCTGTACCTGTTGTTTCACACAAAAGTGTAAGAAACTTGCTGTAGGCACATCTGGGATAATCTGTCCTCCACCTTAATCCTTTCTAATCATTAACAGTTTAGAGATATGCCTGGGCCCTGAAGCATGGTGTTTGATATATCTTCAGAAATGCATTTTCATTCACTTTGACGCATTTAAATGTATCCAGTCACTTTTAAATCACTGCTACGCTTAGTTATAGGACACAGTAAAGGAAGCTCACGTCCAACAAATATGTCATAATCCACGGGACAACTATTAACACAGATGGACAGAATTTTCTGATATTTTTGACCAGCCATAAAAACTGAAATGTAAAGGCTGAATAGCTTTGCTCAGCAAGGACAGAAATCAGGAAGTGAATCATGTGCTTAAGGAAATTTGAGCATCTCTCTGGAGAAATGTAAGACAAACCCTCTCCTGGCCTAGTGCAGTCCTACAAGGTACTGCTACTGCTTCTGTTAACTGTGATCCACTGAGTAGTAGAGAAAACAACAGGAAGTCTTTCCATCGACCTCCATGTTCAGTGCATCCAACTCTAATCACATTGGCCACTCACATCTGGAATAGCCATCTTATTAAAACATACCCAGGTATTAACTGATGTATCCATGTTTGAAAGGCACTCCTGGAATCCTGCTATGCTGAGCAAACAGCAAATGTTGTTTAAAAATAACTAAACTTAAAAAGTGGTGGGTTTTGGTTTTGTTTCTTTAAGTTTCTATTCAGACATATGATTTTTATTTCTTTGAATATGTTAACCTGCAACACTGAGGAAAAGGGAGAGCTGCAGAAATTGTACTTCATTGATTTCATAAATCCATCAACGTTACAAAGGCAGTATTTTTATCCAAGGGCCCTGATTATTACCTATCGAGTTAGAATATACTAATTACAATATTAAAGGGGTGTTTATTTTGCATATTTTCCCATGGGTCAGAACAATTCATATACTTCTATTCAGTGCCTTTAAGATGGGCCCACTGTAGCTGGCACCAGTTTGAACTCCCCATTTTAGTGTAGTATATAAATATATATATATAAATAAATAAATTACCTTGATGAAACAGTTTAGGCCATAGTCTGTACTGAAGATGTTCTTCAGAGTGGCCGCTCTTGCCATATATGAGACAGCTGACACTCTAGCCTTGATGCAATTCTTTGGCTGGTTTGTTGGGTGGTTACTTACCTCCACAGAAAAAAGCAAAAAAACCCACCAAACACCCCCCCCTCCCAAAACTGTAGCTTTTATTTTGTTTTGATTTAAACTGGTTTTGTCAAACAGTTTTAGCAAGAAGGCGAGAACGGTGGCAATTCTCCAGAAATACCAAGGCTGATTTATCTGTGGCCAAAGATGCATGTGTAAGCCTCGAGTATTTCCTATATGACCTGCAAAAGACAGTGCAGGCAAACCCGAGAGTGACTGCTTCTCCTGTTTTGCAGCCCTTATTCTTTCATCTCCAGTGTTGCAGGTTTATTTTGTTTGAACAAAGTCCCTGGGTGAATTTCCTATTTGCCTCTGTGTGCATGTTATTTGTGGCAGACACTGTACCTGGTCAGCAGCTCTAGAACTGGAGGCCCTGGACACTATATGCTGGGCTTCAGTGGAAAGAGAGATCTGCTTAATTTTGTCCAAGGTGAAGGAGTCCGGCGGTTCCTAGCCTGGACTACTGGAAGGTTCCCACATCCTCTTTGTCACATTAGTTGAGATGACTTGCAGTAAAAGTTGTCCAGTGAGTGTTAAGAACCTATTGAAAGATCATAGTTTTATAGTGATATTGTTAGGAAAAAAAACCAAAATAAAACTCCTTAATTGTTAAAACCAATATAGATGCTGATGCAACATATTTTGATATTATTAAATAACCTAGCAGCAGTTGTAGTAAAGCATTAGAAATGTTATCCCATCATCATTCCTGTGTTCTTGAGCTATGCTAGAAATCAGGTAATGCGTGCAGTCTAGCCACGTCTGTGTTCTTGCACCCAAACCATATCATGAACTTATTCCAAGGAAGAGAGCATGAGCAGCATTCATTTTTCTAGGAGTGCTACTTAACTAATAAACGTGTATAAAGCTCAAGTCACCATGACCATTACCACAATTCTGGACAATATCTTGACTTGTTCTTTCGTACCATCCCTTGATTTTGTGATAGCAGCTCTTTTGGCTTTGAGAGTTTGCACTTTAAAGATGCAGATTCACCTGAATGTCCAAATATCTCCAGTCATTTATGAATTACAGACTACAGATCTCAACTTTTTCAGAAACCGCTTATATTTGTTCGCATAGTTCCAAAACCAAGGAATGAAATGGGAGAGTAGTAGCAGTTCTGCATTAATCTTAACGTCTAAATAAAATGTATTTTCTGTGAAATAAAAACGTAGTTTTATCTAGGTTCTTCATTTCACTGCTTTTAACTGTTGGCTAAAACAGGTATTTTACTGGTTCTGCTAAAATTTCTAATCACACTGGTACTTGTTAGCATCTTACTTTCATCACGTGCCTCAAAGTGATCCTGTGCTGGACTAGTGCTTGCTTCAAATTAGAAACAGGATGTCAGTGCTTACCTGAATGGTCAGAAGCCACCGGCATCTAAATAATTTTGAGTATCGTAGCCTGCATGGCAGCCAGAATGTATTCCAAGATTTGACCTAGGTCACCATGGTTGACATTCGTTATTGACATGTTGGTTAAGTGTATAGCTAAACCAAGTCCTCACTGCAGTAATAATACCTGTTTTAAATAGTAACACAAGCTTAGTTTACACTGTTTCGTGAGGGTTTTTTTGATTCATCAGCTCACTGCTTTCGCTGCACAACAAGGCTCGATGCATCTTTCAGGGCTTTGTGCACTTCAGTTTACTCCCAATCCTGTTTTACTTATGGGGTGCGGAGACCTTGCAGGGTTGGGGAAGGAGGCCACCGAGATCGCAGAGCACTCACGTTTCTGTTTCGGTAGTAGGCAGGGGGTTGTGCTGCATGTATGCAGTTTGCTGGTAGCCGGTCAGAGACGGGGCTGACTGGCCTTCCTTGGCTCGAACACGCAGTCCCATCTTGGGTCCATCCCACCTCTGTGGGGTCAGGGCTGCAGGGCCAGACGTAGGAGCGCACGTAGTTGTAGCTGAGCTCTGCAGAAGCAGTGCTGGAAAGATCTTTAACTGTTAGTCATGTGAAAACAGAAATGTAACTGGGGATTCTCATTCCTAAGTTAGCCCAAAACCCCTCTCAAATTGGTTTCTTTTAAAACCTGGAAAAAATGGAAAATCCCAGAATGCAGGAGACCTACAGAGGGCCTTTCAAGGGGATTTGCATTGGCTGTGAATGCAAATGTGTTCTGGGCAATAAATAGCTTGTCCTGGCCAGGTGTTCTGCTGTAACAGCTCCAGCTGGCAGGAATTACTGCTTTCTGGATACCTCTCACTGGTTTACCTTTACATAATTTGTAGGAAGGGAAGATAATAACTGTAAAATGGGACTGCTCCTTTCAAAAAGCAAACAACAAAGGAAAGCTGGACACTTCTGGCATTTCCTTCACCACAGATAAAACTGCAGATCTTTTCTGAAATAGACAGGCTTGCATTTCTCCTTTTCAAGCACTTCTCTTTTTCCAGAGCACTGTAGAAATTGAAATGAGAAGCCCTTTACTTGCACCAGTTCATCCAGCCAGGTCCCTGAACACAGTCAGTCAGCTCAACTCATTCCCTTACCCTGTGAGAGAAGGAAGACAGCAGCTAGGGCTCTGTTTTGCCCTCTAGGCAGTCACTGTACACCCCTGTCAAGTGATCCCACCAGTGTCCAGGGCAGATTGCCTGGAGAGCCACTGCCAGCTGACTGCATTGGCTTGCAGGCACAAGGCAAGGCAGAATCCAGCTTCACCTTTGCATCGGGACCTCCAGCAAGTTTACAGGGTATGGAGGGAGCAGTGCCCCCTTCTGAAAAAAGCCAGCGTCCTTTGTCTCTTGGTACAGCTGGGGGAAGCAGAGGGAGATTGTAACAGCTCTGACAGCAATGGGAGGACCCCACAGACTGGGGTAAAGGAGCGATCTAGTGCTTCTCTTCTGGTGAACTATGTGGAGCTATAATTACTATTACTCAATTGCCCACTTCATCACCCAACAGATGGGAAGAGCCATCAACTTTATGGTGGGCTGCCTGTGCAGTCACTGTGCCCAGGGAAAAAGGATGATGACCCTGTAACTTGTGGTGAACTAGTGGGACAGAAAAACTGTTTGCTACAAGGTGAAAGGAAGCCACTGTACCTTGTACTGCTCTTACTCCACTTGCCCCCTTTGCATGGAGCCATGTTGTTGCACAGAAGTACTTATCCTTTTCAACCTCTTCTCTCTCCCCTTAGTCCTACATGCATGCATGTTTTGCTTTATTTGTTTTTTTTTATATATAGATTTAGTTTAAACTTAAAAGCAGTTACTTGCTGGTAATGTAGAGCACAAGTTGTATTCATTTTACCATTGAAACTGTTGCTGTTATAAATGGTCCCATGCTTCAAGGCAGTGCTAAAACCTCTCTCTTTGATACATTTATAGCAACTCTGATGAACTCTGGGACCACTGCAACGGTGGCTCTGCTTCGGGACGGTATTGAGCTGGTTGTGGCAAGTGTGGGAGACAGTCGTGCTCTGCTATGTCGAAAGGGAAAGGCCATGAAACTCACCATTGACCATACTCCAGAAAGGAAGGAGGAGAAGGAAAGGTATGTGTCGGCTGATGATGTGGCTTCCCAGGAAACGGCCCCTGTCAGGATGCGCTTGTGTTCTGCTGGTGGGTTGGGCCTGGAAGAAAGCAGGGAGTTGAATATAATGCCCCAAGACCACCTCTGAGCTGGCAGAAAGCAGCACAGCTCCAATTAATTCACTTGGTTCCATGTAGAGGACCGGGGATGTGAAAAGCGTGAGCATAAACTGTCTCAGCAGTAAGATCAGCATAGCTAGGACTTGGTAAAGAGCTGCGACCACATGGTTCAGACTTATCCACGACTGCCAAGTTAAAGCCAAGACCTGAAGAAATGCAATACGGTTCCCAGGTCAGGACTCAGCCTGCCAAGCCACATCCGTTTGTTTGAAGCCAGCCCTCAGTCTCCCAGCTTAGGTCCTCCTTACCCTATTCTGCATCAGTAGCTAGTGACAGAAAATCCAGATAGAAACAGGGATAATGGTGTGAAGCAGTAACTCATATTCACTTTTTCTTTTGTGCCTCTAAACAGGATTAGGAATTGCGGTGGCTTTGTTGCCTGGAACAGTTTGGGACAACCTCATGTGAATGGTAGACTTGCAATGACACGGAGCATAGGAGATTTGGATCTTAAAAACAGTGGTGTGATAGCCCAGCCAGAAACAAAAAGGGTTCAGGTAAAAGAAGGCCTGGTTAACAGGGACAGCAGCATTCGGACTAAGGGGCATCATAGGTATTTGATGCAGGTGGTGGTACCCACACAACATCTGCCCACGTGAAGCCTGATGGCCAAGCATTGATTTTTATCTGTGGTGAAGTAACTGGAGACCTATTCTAATTAAATCATTTCAGATTAAGCGGACAGAAAAGAATCTGTCCCCGATGATAAATTCCACTAGATCAACTTCTAAAACTCATTTATCACAGTACAATATAGGATGAAGCAAGGAAGATAACGTGATACCCATTACTGAAATACAAAGGTGTTAAGTCTGTTTGGGGCTTGTGGTCAAATGACTGATTTTAATGGTTAATGCTGATATAAAACCATCACAGAACTAGGTGGGATACGGATGGGCTGTCATCAAAAAAAAGTAGAATATGCAGAGGTTTGCACACTTGGGGGGAAGGGAGGAGGAAAGGGCTATTGCATGGCTCTTACTATAGCTCTGTAGTTGTCCAGAAAACAAATTAACCACCCAGAAGGTATTCAGCACAGCTGCCTTCACTGTTGCAGGAAGGCTCTCCTCTCAGCGCATATTGTTTGATACTTCTCTCCACTGCACCTCCCAGGGCCCAGGGAACTTACATTCAGTTGGTCCTGGTTAAATGCCACCCACTAGCCCGAGGGGCATAGGGAGATGACTGCAGTGCAGTCATGTCTTCCTTGAAATCCTTAAGGAAGCATTTTGTTTACTGTGTAATGTATGGATCTGGTCTTCTGGCCTCAGTGTATTATGAGGGCTGCTTCCTAGAACCGGAAGCACTTTAAGACGCTCTCCTCCAGTACAGGGAACACAGCCTGTGTGGCTGATGCATGTGCTGGAGGATTCAGGGGCAGCCTTTGGCTAGCCAAGAGGTTGCAGGTTCCAGTTAGTCCTTGCACAGAAGGGAGGAGAGCACGCAGCACCCCCAGAAAAAGTGCTTTGCAACAGAGAGGAAAAAAAAGGCGGCAGGTACTTTGCCTTGCAGCACTCGCTCCATTGCTGTGCATACTGTGTGCCTTTATTGCAGTTGCATCATGCAGATGACAGCTTCCTGGTCCTTACTACAGATGGTATTAACTTCATGGTGAACAGTCAGGAGATCTGGGCCTTCATTAACCAGTGCCATGATCCTGCTGA